CTACAATCAAATCAACAAAAATTTTTGGTCCATGGATTTCTAAACATGATCGAAATAAACTAATATCTAAATGGTGTGGTCCCCACCACGGCAGATTTAAGGACAAGTCCATCTGAGGAGATTCAATATCATACTCAATGTTCATATTGTCCGGTGTGGATTTTCGTTGACGTCCACCATAGACAATAGATTTAAACATTATCCAAAAACGCGAAAAAAGTGTCTCAGGCGGATGCTTTGAGGATGACAATACTGAGTTTACATTTTGAAGTATATGTTAGCTATTGAAAATACAGTATGCTAAAAATGGTTCTGGTAGAATTCGCCGCCAATCTCTAGCCAACACTAGCTATGAAGCAGCCATCCCTAACTAAATCGGAACCAAAATTTTTCGGCGAAAGGGCTGTCGGTGAAATGGTTGTCGGGGAAATTGGTTTATACCGCTAAAAAATAACTATTTATATATAGAAAATTACCTGGTTCATTATTTGCAGCGGGAAGCTTTAGTCTGATATCAGTCGCGGTATCCTCTACAGATGGTAAACTACCTGATGAATTATCTAAAATATTCATCACTTTATTTGCTACTAATTTCGCAACCGAAACAGGAAAGTCTTTTGATGAAATCAAAAATTTAAGGACCTTTGATGATATCGTGTTCTGGCTATTAAATGATAAGAATAATAGCCATAATCAATACAAATATTAACCAAATTTAAATCAAATATAAGCATATCTTAATCAAATCAAATTTACCCTTTAAAGAAAATATCATCACATAACCATTGAATAGCTCCAACTAATGCATATGATGAATGAGGTTTCAAAAAAAATTCCAAATTCGTCGATAACGTATCAAATGTTACACCACTAGAATTTTCCGAATCTTTGTCAATTTCAGCGAGTGCTCGCTTGAATATTGTTGGTGTCAACTCAATCAGAATTCGAGGATTAGTCGCCCTATATATAAAAATCACATAACAATTTGAGTAATGCTATAACATTAATTTAAATAATTTAAATAATTATGACAAACAATATACAATACATTATAAGATCTTTTGGAAGATCTTCAATTGAGGATAACGCATTTACCCAATAATCAACCATACCGGCCTTGTCCGTAGAAAGGGTTCTCTTTTCATACACTACCGATGATTGGAGAATCCACATATGACAAAAACCTTTATCATCACATAATACATCTTTAAGATTCTTATATAACTTGAAAAAAAAAGAAAAGATAGAGTGAACAAATAATACCAAAATAATTATAGACAAATACGTTATGTTTACCTCATATCTATCAATTATATTGACAAATAATAAAAATATGGTGCCAAAACTTTCACAATCTTGAAGATAAGACTCTACCATAAGATTATCAAGTATTATATTATTAATTACTCAGTAATAATGCTAATTTAAACGTTTACTATATGATGAAATATTACCAAAGTCATCATCATCAGATCTTTCCCATGTATTACATAATTGTTCCA